TCTTGTTGAAGCTCAAGGAACGGATTGATCGGTGAGTTCTTGTGCATTCTATGTGTTTCAAACAATTTAAGAGAGTGGAATTATGTCTTCCACCAAAAAACAGAACAGGATTTAACGTTAAATGCGACTTTGTTGATGGAACTGTTTTCTGTACAAGTTTCAATAATGTTGAATTACTTTAATTATGTCTTTGGGAGCATTTTGGTGAGGTATTTGTGTTGGTTTTTCCCTTTTTTCCCAAATCTAATTACAGAGTTAGACTTGATGTGCCAACAATTGAAGTTCGGTTCGAGCATCTTACTGTTGAGGCAAAAGTTTATATTGGAAGCAGAGCACTGCCCACATTACTCAACTTTGCTATCAATATGTTACAGGTAAATCTTTTAGATCACATAAACATAAATTCTATTCTAATTTTAGTAATTATCTTTCCCAATCCCCACCTCATGAAACTCCCCCTTGGTACAGGGCATGCTACATTATCTTTACATTTTTCCAAGTAGAAAGACACCTTTAACAATCCTTCAAAAGATTAGTGGCATCATCAAGCCTCAAAGGTGAGTTAGCCATGTTTTTCAAAAACAATCCGTTGTACATTTACCAAAACGTTTTCACTCATAGATGCAATTCCTGCAGAATGACTTTGCTTTTGGGTCCCCCAAGCTCTGGAAAGACCACATTACTATTAGCTCTGGCTGGAAGACTTAGTAAAGATTTAAAAGTAAGAAAGCTTAAATTCAGAGATTTTATTTTTGTTCAGTTCATATCACCTCTGGTCTAAATTCTAATGGGTAATTGATGAATGTCAAGTCTTCCGGGAGGGTTACATATAATGGACATGGAATGGAAGAATTTGTACCTCAAAGAACATCAGCTTATATAAGTCAAAATGATCTCCACATAGGAGAAATGACAGTGAAAGAGACATTGGCTTTCTCAGCTAGATGTCAAGGAGTTGGATCAAATTGTGGTTAGTCAAAACACCATTTATTTGATACATTTCATTTTTCCTTCCAAAGAGTTTTAAAGGGTTTGATTTCATATATGGAAAAATTGCAGACATGTTGGCAGAACTATGTAGAAGAGAGAAGGAGGAGAATATCAAACCTGACCCTGACATTGACATCTACCTGAAGGCAAGTAAACAGATTGAAGAGAAATTAACCAACCCTTTTAATGTGGGAGTCTCCATCCGCATTTCTTATCAGAAATAAATTTCATGCAACTGCCGCTTTCATTCTATGAAATTCCTCTGACACTTGAAATTCTTCAGGCAGCAGCACTAGAAGGGCAGGAGACCAGTGTAGTTACTGATTATATTCTCAAGGTACCACCTTGAAGTTCATTTCAGCTTGGAGATATGGACAACCATTTTCTTGTATCCATATAACTTTATGTTTCTGCTTTTAATTATTGCAGATTCTGGGACTTGAAGTCTGTGCTAATACTATGGTGGGGGATGAAATGGTAAGAGGCATCTCAGGTGGAGAAAGAAAGCGTGTCACAATAGGTAAAACATAGAACAAGTCATTGTGTATCTAAAAATCTTTTTTTTAGTTTCAGAAAGTCTAAATTGTACACCATGTAAATTGATGCTTCTGAGATTTCTGGTAACAATGACATAGGGGAGATGCTTGTTGGACCAGTAAGAGCTCTCTTCATGGATGAGATATCAACTGGCTTGGACAGTTCTACAACTTTCCAAATAGTAAATTCACTCAGGCAATCCATCCATATTCTAAGCAGAACTGCAGTTGTCTCCCTCCTTCAGCCAGCCCCCGAAACTTATAACCTGTTTGATGATATTATTCTTCTCTCAGATGGGCAAATCGTGTATCAGGGTCCACGCGAAAATGTGCTTGAATTTTTTGAATCCATGGGATTCAAGTGTCCTGAGAGGAAAGGAGTTGCTGACTTCTTGCAAGAGGTGATTTCCCTTTTTAATTTCTTCACTTTCTTGTATGTGTTTGACTGTCATAGTTCAAACTTTTTTTTTAACAATATTCTTTCCGTGGGGGTTGTGATAGGTGACATCAAGGAAAGATCAAGAGCAGTACTGGGCACGTTTAAATGAGCCATATAGCTTTGTTACTGTCAATGATTTCGCAGAAGCATTCCAGTCATTTCCAGTTGGTCAGAAACTTGGTGATGAGCTTGCTGTTCCCTTTGACAAGTCCAAAAGTCACCGTGCTGCTTTGTCAGCCAAGAAGTATGGCGTTAACAAGAAGGAGTTGTTCCGAGCTTGCGTTTCTAGAGAATTCTTGCTCATGAAGAGGAACTCATTTGCCTTCATTTTCAAATTTGCCCTAGTGAGTAAAGCATTTGAGTCTTTTGTATTTGACTTGAATTGGAAAACTTGAAAACTTTATTGAAACCTTAGTACTATGAGAATGTGAAGTTGAAAATGTCCCACATTGGAAAGTTAGAAAACTTTGCAAGGGCAGAGTAGCCCAACTCGTTATAAGCCCTTGCAAGGTTTTCGAACTTTCCAATGTGGGACAATTTCACCTTCACATTCTCACAAGTACTTGGCCTCAAAGTGATTCTACTTTATAATTGTTCCTTTTTAACTTGTGTTTCAGCTTATCATGTTAGCTTCTATAACAGCATCAATATTTCTACGAATTAAGATGCACAAAGACACAGTGGAGGATGGTGGAGTTTATATGGGTGCTTTGTTCTTTGCGGTCATTGCAGCAATGTTTAATGGAATATCAGAACTCAACATGGCCATTATGAAACTTCCTGTCTTCTACAAACAAAGAGATCTTCTCTTCTTTCCTTCATGGGCATACTCTCTACCTGCATGGATCCTCAAGATCCCAATCACTCTTGTAGAAAGTGCCATTTGGGTGCTCATTACTTATTATGTCATAGGATTTGATCCATGTGTTGAAAGGTGAGAAAAAGAATAATTCATACTTTAAGTTTGATTAGGATTTGATGAAAGCTCTATATATTTCAGGTTTGTCAAGCAGTACATTTTACTCCTGTGCATAAACCAGATGGCGTCTGGGATGTTCAGGCTCATGGCAGCCTTCGGAAGGGATGTAATAGTTGCAAGCACAACTGGAACCTTTGCATTGCTTATAATTATGGTTTTGGGTGGATTTGTCTTATCTCGAGGTGATTTAACTATAGAAGTAATAAGATTACTAATTTCCACTGCTGATGTGATTCAGATTCTAATTTTTAAAAACCTCTTCTTTTTTTGCATCAGAGGCTGTGCCAAAATGGTGGTTGTGGGGTTACTGGGTCTCGCCGTTAATGTATGGACAAAATGCTATTACTGTGAATGAATTTCTTGGAAAGAATTGGAGACATGTAATCATCTATTTCTCTCAAAGTTTGTGTAGCTCCACTAAAAGAAAATTGATAGAAGGTAGAATGATTGCGATCAATGATTATGTGGAGATATCTCTATGTTATAGGTTCCACCTAATTCTACAGAATCCTTGGGAGTTTTGATCCTGAAGTCTCATGGAATTTTCCCAGAAGCACGATGGTATTGGATTGGAGTAGCAGCTTTAATTGGATATATTCTTCTATTCAATCTCCTTCTTACTTTGGCTCTGCAGTATCTTGATCGTAAGTGTCATGATTCATATGTTCTTTGTGCTTTCAGTCTTGGACTTGTTCATCTAAAAACTGGATTAATGTTGCAGCATTTGGTAAGCCTCAGACAGTACTATCCAAAGAAGGCATGGCTGAAAGAAAAGCTAGCACAACTGGAGAGTTCATTGAGCTATTGCCAAGGGGAAAGAGCTCTTCTGGTAGGTCATTCAGTTCAGTTCCTACATATGTTTCTGTTTTAAATACCCTGTTGAATTCAAGCATTGTTGATGTACAATAACTCAATGCAGGAAATACTGAAGGTCAAAGAAGCTTACCGTTATCTGAAAGAGGGGGAAGAACTGATGAAGCTAATGGGAAAAGGAAGCGTGGCATGGTTCTTCCTTTTCAACCGCTTTCCCTTGCTTTCAATGAGATCAGATATGCAATAAATATGCCACAGGTAACTTTCGATGTTAAATTAGAAGTACCTCGACAATAATAATGTTTTGGCTGAATTTTCAATGTCTTTTCAGGAAATGAAAGCTGAGGGTGCTCAAGAGGATCAGTTGGAACTTTTGAAGGGTGTGAGTGGTGCATTTAGGCCAGGAGTCTTAACAGCTCTAATGGGTGTCAGTGGGGCTGGCAAGACCACTCTAATGGATGTGTTGGCTGGAAGGAAAACTGGCGGACATATCAAGGGAAGCATCATGGTATCTGGGTATCCGAAAAAGCAAGAAACATTTGCTCGCATATCAGGATATTGTGAGCAAACTGATATCCACTCTCCTCATGTTACAGTTTATGAATCTCTACTTTTTTCTGCATGGCTTCGGCTACTCCCTGAGGTTGATTCTGCAACAAGAAAGGTAAAATTTCAGCATTCTTTTTTAACAGACAGCCAAGACACTATTATAAAGCATCAAACATGGCCTACTTACCAAATTATGTACAAATTGATCTGATGTTTGATGGGTTGCAGATGTTCATCGTGGAAGTCATGGAGCTTGTGGAGCTGACTTCATTAAGGGGAGCACTTGTGGGATTACCTGGTGTGACCGGTCTTTCGACTGAGCAGCGCAAAAGACTGACGATTGCTGTTGAGCTTGTTGCAAATCCATCTATAATCTTCATGGATGAACCAACCTCCGGCCTTGATGCCAGAGCAGCAGCAATCGTGATGAGAACCGTGAGGAACACGGTGGACACAGGAAGAACTGTGGTTTGCACCATCCACCAGCCAAGCATAGACATATTTGATGCATTTGATGAGGTTAGATGTCCCATTTAAAAAAGAAACTGTAACCTGTGTTGCAAAGTAAATGTTTTAAGCACTTCATGTTGCATTGCAGCTTCTTCTGTTGAAATTGGGAGGTGAGCAAATATATGGTGGTCCATTAGGCTCCCATTCCTCTCATCTGATCAAGTACTTTGAGGTCAGGACCATAGAGAAATAAATAATGACATAATCTCCCTTAACATTGCTTATTAACTAACATATATATGAGTTTGTGGCACCAAGGGATTTAATGGAGTTCCTAAAATCAAAGATGGATATAACCCTGCAACCTGGATGTTGGAGATTACTTCGGCAGCCCAAGAGGCAGCTCTTGGGGTTAATTTCACAGAGGTGTACATGAAGTCCGAACAATTTAAGTAAGAGTTTAATTTCAAGTCTCTTCCACGAGAGGGATGAGAATTCAAAAAGTCTTAGTATTTGTAGTTGATGCATGTAGTTGCTCTATACAATTGTTGATACTCTAAGGTCAATGGTTCAGGAGCAGCAAAGCAATGATCAAGGAACTAAGTACACCTCCCTCGGGTTCTAGAGATCTATACTTCCCTACTCGCTACTCTCAGTCTTTTCTCATCCAATGTATGGCTTGCCTATGGAAACAGCACTGGTCTTACTGGAGAAACCCATCATACAGTGCAGTAAGGCTGCTATTCACAACGTTCATCGCTTTGTTGTTCGGTTTGATATTCTGGAATCTTGGATCGAAAAGGTATGTAGACGAGTAAACTTAAACAATGGCTGGAAATGGCCTCTAGATTTCTGTTTCTTAATCACCAATATGTTCAAACTTGTTTGCGGACCACAGGACAAAGCAGCAAGATCTCTTCAATGCTATGGGTTCCATGTATGCTGCTGTAATCTTTCTCGGGGTACAAAACGGTGCCTCAGTGCAGCCGGTTGTGGCTGTTGAGAGAACAGTCTTTTACAGAGAAAGAGCAGCTGGAATGTATTCGGCTTTGCCCTACGCCTTTGGACAGGTAAAACAGTTGAAACTGGCAATGCATGGCATAGAATTATTGAAACAGCACATGCTTCTCTCCCTGAAACTCATGAAATCGTAGGAAGCTCATCATAATGTTCAATGGCTCACCAAATCACTCTCTTTGCAGATGATGATTGAGCTTCCCTACATCTTCATTCAGACTGTTATTTATGGAGTCATAGTGTATTCCATGATGGGATTTGATTGGATTGCTGCCAAGTTCTTTTGGTACCTGTTTTTCTTGTACTTCACCTTGTTATACTACACATTGTATGGCATGATGACCATGGCTCTCACTCCCAACCACACCATTGCTGCCATAACCTCATCTACCTTCTATGCAATATGGAACCTTTTCTCCGGATTTGTTGTTCCTCCGACAGTAAGTAAATATACATACATACGTATGTACATAGATACATAAATTCATGTGCATACCTTCTATGCAATATGGAACTAAATTTTGGTTATGACAGAGAATTCCAATATGGTGGAAATGGTACTATTGGGTCTGCCCTGTTGCTTGGACATTGTATGGAATGGTTGCTTCACAATTTGGAGACATAAAGGATACACTGGAGTCAGGGGAATCAGTGGAGCATTTCTTGAGAAGTTACTTTGGATACAAGCATGACTTTTTGGGCATCGTTGCAGTCGTGATTGTTGGATTTTCATTGCTATTCGGCTTCATCTTTGCCTATGGAATTAGAGCATTTAATTTCCAAAAAAGATGAGAATGTTATACAAATAAATATATGAACAATAACCATTGTTGAGTAACCTACATCACTCTCATCTGTCATTGTGCTTCAAGTATTTTCCAGATAGATCAGTCGAATATGGTTAAAGCAACAATCTTTTTTAATCTTCCCTGATTCTGCCTGAAAGCCGGAAAGGACAAAACTAACATGCAAGAAGTCTGGGCTTAGGTAAGCCTAGTAAATCAGCCTTAACAAGGCTTGCAAGCAAAAATCTCAGTACAACAGAACCAAAAGTATCAGCCTTAACAAACCTCCAATAAAATAATAAAGGCGTTTTCATGAACAAGCAATTCCTTAACAACAGTAAATGTCATCCACTAAAGTAAAATCATTTCAAGGAGTGCCTACACAAGTTAAATCAGAGTTGTACAAGAACAACAAATTAGGTTACCAACATGGCCGCCGCATATATTACAGTTGGAACTCAAAAATCTCAGTAAAACTACAATGGAAAATTTCAATTAGAAAAACACAATGTAGAAAGGAGAAAAAAGGGTAAACCATTCGTCATTATCTCAAGTTTTCAAGTCATCCAAGAAGCTTTGCAACTCCCTCAACCCTTCAGCAGAAAAACTCCTCTGCACTCTTGAGCGAGGGGCAATCAGGTTAGGTGGAGGCTGTGGTTGGAAGCAGACTACGACAACAGCCAAATTGTCCCCACTCTTCCTCTTCAAAGCCTCATCAACCAAATCCTTGCTACATGTGGCTGGGTCATTGTGCTCCTGAAGCCTGCGCCGAGCAAAATCCACAGCATTTTGACTCATAAACACCTCCCAGATCCCGTCACAGCCAATGATAAGGAACTCATCATCCTCTGTAAGTTTTGCAGTCATAAATTCTGGCTCTGCACTGAGTGGCCCACCATCCCTGCCCTTCATCCCTTCCATATGCCAGTCTCCCAATGCACGAGCAACGTTAAGCTGTCCATTAAGGTAACCATCATACACAAATCCTCCAGATGCCTCGATGCGTTGTTTCTCTTTGCCGCAAATCGGTTTGTGATCTCTTGACATTTCAATTGCTTTGCCACGGCGGCACAGCACTGCTCGACAATCTCCAGCATTTGCTACCACCAACAACCTGGCAACAGAAACTAAGATCAGCATACGGCTAATCAAACACACATGTTTGTTGGTGCATCTGAAAGTAATATTTTGGAGCTGATGGGATAAATTAACAGGACATGCATGAATTAGATAAACAGAGCAGACCCAGAACAAACCAAAATCATTCAACTAACCAAGAACTGCTAGAACCATAGAACTAATTGGATTGAGACAATGTTAGGTCAGCCTGTATACAGCTAAATGTGACGAGTAGATCAAAGATTACCCACACCCATAAGAAAATATTTTCAACAGAGTATGGCTGGGTAGCCCCAATACTTTCCATACATTTTCTTCAGTCTGTAATGAACTCAGAGCTTACTTCAGAAGGCAGTGAACAACAAAAAGAAAGCACTAAGAAATGAGATTCAAATTTCACGCACATCACTCACCCCATAGAAGAATGAACTAAAATATAATTGATGTACTCTGAGCAATCATGATACATGCACCTACAGTTCACAGGTAGAGAAAACCAAAATATCCAACCTTCCAATGAGAAGAGCGGTCAATGCAGTGGTACCAGAGGCAAGGGTGGCATCCAAGGTGCAAGCTTCTTCAAAGGCAGTGTCAGTATGAAAAAAGGCTGAAGTGACAACCCTTTCAATATCCCTAGGGAAGTCTTCATTCTCAATAATGAACTTTGGCAAATGAAAGCAAGCAAAGTCAGCAGCATGCTTTCCTCCATGTCCATCAAACACCTGACCAACCAATAACATAGGAATGTCGAATTGGGAAATGCTGAAGATAGATTAGCTAGCAAGTTCAATACATGTAGATCATCATTCTAACCATATGTTTCATTATAGATATTACCACTGAAAGCTATATCTAAAGAGATGAGGGATACAGTCAACTAATAAGAACTAAACAACTTTGGATCTAGAATGTAAATGCACAACGAGTAAGGAAATTTTTAATAACATGTGGAAGAGAAGATAAATACCCCATAAAAGGCACTTGGGCCATCAGTACGATTCTTGAGCCCATAATCGTGCATAAAATTGTCAACACAGACATATACATCTTCCATGCTTGGACGAGACCCTATGTCAGCCCATGCTCCAGACCGGACAACTGGAATGAATTTAGATTCAAATTCCTCTGCTTGAACTCCCGGTTCAACTTTAATGTCAGATGTCTTTGTCTTCATCTGCAAAATTCCATTCAGACCTTTAATAATTGCACACCAAGACCACAAAAGGTTGCAAATTTTCCTATACTGGGTTAACAAGAGAAACATTCAACTTCTAATGCTCGCATTTCAAGTTTATGTCATCATCTATTGACGCTCCTAATTCTGATTGCCCAAAATTATAGTGCGGCTAGACTTACAAATTTTCTAACTGTTTGCATCAGTACTATCATAAACAGCTAAGAAACCAATACTATGTAACTATATAGATATAGTGCTATTATGACAAAATGGCAAAAACGCATAAGCTGATAATGACACATACAAGAGATGGGTGTCGAACAAGCGATTTCTTGCAAAGCACAGGAACGCCGTCGTTGTGGCTAAAGCACTGCCAGTATGCCCCGGCGAGAGGGTTCGGAGGCCGGCCCTCGCTTGAGCTTCCATTTTCAACTTTACTTCCCTCCATAGTTCTCAATCATCACATCCTTTGCCACAAACCCACCACACCATAAATGTCAATTTTGAAAATTTGCCCAGAATGTAACTCAGTGAGTTAATTACTGATTCTGTTGAGCTCAAAGAATGGGACTTTAGTAATGTGGAACGATGCTGAATTGAACAAAGGAAGCAGAAAATGAAAAATTAGGGTTTGGAGTGGAGAAATGTATTGGGATTAAGGAGCTGATGAATGATGAGTTGACTCAGCTGGAGATTAGCACTTTTAAAACGAAAGGGGATTCGATTTGACTATTTCAAGGCTTTTGATGGCGAATTGAGAGGAGATTGGATTTGGGAATTTAGGGTTTTGCAGGTGCAGACATTGAAAAAGATGGCATTTATGGTTTCAGGGAAGTGCAAATTGAACAGTAGGGTTTTGCAGAGAGAGAAAAGAGGGTTTTAGAAAGCGACGAAATCGTAGTGAAAGCGATCCACTGTGATCTAACAGACCGAGAGAATGAGAGATTTTGGGCGATCTCCACGATGACACTGGTTTTCGCTGAATGCTAAGATTTAACTGGTCGGTTTCTTAGGGGAAAGCCAAACGACGTCGCATTGAGAACCCCAGCTGCGTTTGACTTTGGACTTTATAAAGTCACATGCTTTGGTCAATTTTCGAGGTAATAGATATTTTTAATAAATAAATATCTAAAAATAATCCTTTAAAATGAAGAAAGCTTAAAGTTAACATGAAATGATGGCGTCCTTTTTATAATTATAACTTATAACTACCTTAATTATTATTTTTAAATTTTAGGTCTTTTGCTTTTAATTCAACTGTCAAAGTTTCACGTATGATCATTTTAGTGTTTTTTGAAATAATTATGCTGACTTGAAAAACAGACGATTTAGATCGTGTATGCATGGTAGACAAAATTAGAGAAAAGTTTAGATGAGTCACGTATAATATTATACGAATGATGAAAAATAACAAAATTTAGGTGATAGGTGAAAGTGATGGTAAACTGGTAGCATGTGTTGATTGGTCTAAATTCCGAATGAGGTGGAGTCCAAGCAAGTGCCAACTATTGTTTCTGACGTTCAAACTTGAACAAAGCACAGATGCAGAGAAGAGGCTTGATTATTGTCTGAAAGTGAGACGCATTGGAACTATTCAAAGCTGCCTTTGCGTGCTTTTGAGTAGTTTTCGTTGAGTTTTTTTGGGTGTATCTGCAGAGAGAGATAGCGACAATATTAATACAGATTCTTTCTTTCTTTTATTATAGCATTTTAAACGAGATGTCAAATTACCACGTGAACATAAAATTAAAAAAAAAATAGAAATTGAGGTTACTCTAACCCAGTAGTGAAATTCAATATGAATTTGAATGAGTTTCCAGTGTGTGTCACCATCTTTTCTTTCTTGGAAATACGCTAACTGATGATTTTATTAACAGGAAACTCATTCCAACACGCGTCTCTCCAAGAGAAAATGGTGACACACAGAGACACCAGACGGCAAGCAAAAACAGAGAAATGATACGTGTTTGATGGAGGGTCCAACACCACGTGGCCTTTTCTATTCTAGATGGTCACCGTTGCGTTGGGGTCCTTGTCGGCTTATGAAATCTCACCAATTGCTCTATGCAAAACCAAACCAAACCCACCTTCCTCTTTTTCTATATATCATCCCTCCCTCTCTCCTTTTTCTGCCAAAATTAAGAGGGAAAGAAGAGACGAAGAGAGAGAGAGATGGCTATTACAAACTTCAATTGCTGCCTCAATCCGCCGCCTCCAACTCAAAACCTTGGTTCAAGCCCTTCTTTGCCTTCAAAGCCAAATCAAGTACTTGCATGGTATATAATTAAACCCACCTTTCTTATGTGCCTCGTATTTGCGTGGTCTTATAAAATCAAGACGCGTGCTATGTTGGTGTCTAATTATGGTAAGTACTTGTGTGTGCAGGAACAAAAATGATGGATCATGGACAAAACGATGTGTGTTAGGCATGACAGCCGGCATCATGATTGGGTTGGAAATGGGCAGCTTGGATGCCATTGCCAAAGGCATGCCCTTGCCATTGGTGACAGAAGCAAGTGATCAGAGGGTTACAAAATGGAGTGACAGAAGAATGTGCCCGCCGTGGATCCCCAATTCTCTGGAGACCATTGTGCCCGAGAACCTTCCAAGGCCCTCGGCTCAGAGGAGATCGGAAGTCGTTGGGTTTTCGAAGGATGCTCCGGCAGTTAAAACGGTTGTTGTTAGAAGAAGTGGTGGCTGCTTTGCCATGTAAATTACCTTGTGCTGCGGTGTTCCATATGTATATGCACCATAATGTATAGCCAAATACAGAAGCAATGAAGGTTACCAATTAATTACTAGGCATTTCCTTCATTTTTGGATTTTTCTTCTTCTTGGATTTTTTGGTCGCATTTCTCTTTCATGGTTTCAATTGGGTGCAGTACAGCATTTGATTTGCATAATTATTATTGTGTAGTAGAAGTAGTACATGTAGTACCAATTGGAAGTTTTCAACGGGAAAAACAAAAGCAAAAGAACAAAAAAAAAAATCCATTGGCCTCAAGCATATTCGCATGTTAAGGTGGTTTCTTTGGTGTCGTTTTTGTCTGTCATGGGTTTTTTTTCGAGAAAAAATATAAAAAAATTGGAGGCCCAAAAAGTATCCGCACAATACAAGCCAGCAGGCCCAAAAAATTATAACAGTCAGACTGCGTCTTAGCCCAAGATCATAATTAGCATATATGCAACCAATCTATGTGATTATGTAGCCAAATTAAGTCTTGGCTATCGGTTCCTTCTTTCTGCTAATGATTCTGTATGCCATCACAGACGGACAACAGAAAGAGTAGGAAAAATGTTATAGCCCTGACTAAACTAGAAAATAAAAAAGTACGTAGTTCGACTTTCGTCCTCTTATTTCTTGAGCGAGGCATTTCAGATCTAGTTGGGAAAAATGTTGGTTCTGAGGGTACTCTGCAGGGTCAAAGAAGAGGCTATCAACCTCAAATCTTATGTTACAGCTGGGATTACCATATCTCGCAAAATCCCTCCCATAACAATTTACCTGGATGCTTCCAAAACCTTCTTCTAAGCAATTATCACAGTCCAGCTCTTTCAAATCTGGACTGCACTGCACAAGTCTATATATACTACTTATATTATTAGAATAATATTGATACACTTTGCATTTCCCACTGCAAACTTAAGAACATCACCACCAGCCGCCGCTTCGATTCTAAGCACTTCCAACAACGCCAGCAGCCGTTGATTAAACCCGTCCACCACCAATGACGACCGCGACACATCTTCCGTGCTACATGACGTCGAAGCAGGAGCCAGTTCCAGGTCGCCTTGCTTGGAGTGGTTCGTGTAGCGTAACATGCAATAATCGCTGGCCCACAAACTTGCCTCCCTGTCCTTAGGGCACTCCTTGATGAGAGGATATATGGAGCCATTGATGCAATGAACGCAATAGTCTGGCTTCAAATCCCCTCTGCAAAGCCCAATTGGGTAAACTTTGTCAGAGTTTTCGCCGTAAGAGGAACTGTAAGTAGTAAAAATAAAGAATAAAATAAGAGAGCAAACAAGTTCCAAGTTGTAGACTTATTTGGCAGTTGATTGCAACAGATGATTATTCCCCGGAGTACTTTATCCATTATATTCACTCTCTGGTCTCAACTGCAAGTTGTGGAAAAAACTTAAAAAACAACTAATGGATTCCATGGAATCACACCGACCCTGCAGATTATTACCATTACTGAGTCCTTCTCTTCCTCTCAAAATCTTTCTTCCTAGAGCGACAACTTTCCCGGAAAACGAAAGAAAAAGCACTGCTTTCCCAGAAAATGGTCGAGCCCGAAGAGGAAAGCCAAACTCAAGCCATTCCGCCAAAGTCAAAGAACATAGTGGACGACGGAGAAGCTGCGCTCATGGAGTTTGATCTTGACCTCGATGCTTTTTGGCCGTTGGATCCGATTCACTTTCCTTCTAACCCCACATCCCCTCCTTTGTTTCCGTCCACTGACCAGCCCTGTTCTCCTTTATGGGGTTTTCCTGATGGTGATGCTGATAATGATGATAAGCTCGCTGGACAAGTTGATCAAGCTCTTTCTGACCGTCCTCAATTCAGTTCCTGTGAGTTTTTCATATTTGGTTGTGTTCTTTTGTTTTTTTCTTTTCTGGGTCGATCAGTTTTCTCTGTCTTACCATTGAATTTGGTTTTTCTGAATCAGAAATCTTTTAGAAGTTTGTATGTTCACTGTGATAATCATAGAACTCAGCTGAACAAATGCTTTCCTGGGCAGTGTTCGAAAAATCGGCCTAGGCGGCTAGGCGGTCGTGTCCTTTTTAATTTTAATTTTTTTATATAAATAGATTTATTTTCCTGACTTTAAACATTTATTTGGTATTGAGCAATAAAATTGTACTCTTAGAATTAAACAACAAAATAATTTAGGGTCAAAATGTGTTTCTTTACTCGTTTCTCAATTCTCTGCAACTAAAGAGACTATACCCTGTTATACTGAAAAGGTTGCATTTTTACATTCCAACTGGGCCAAGAATTGAATTCGGAGACCTTGGTTCCTCTGAAATGAGTTCTCCTTGTTCATTAATCTTTGTTTAATTCTATCTGGTCTGAATATTCTTAGAATTTGAAGTCAACCATCTAAAAAATAAAAAGTTTATGGAAACTTTTGTCTTTTTGGCCTGAAATTCCTAGGAACTGAAAACACATTTCGTTGGCTTAACATATTGCTTCAGTTAGCATTTTGCAGTTGTTGAGTAGCAGTCAGGAGGTTCACTCATTTGAGTTTTCTCTCATATAATATCACAAAAATGCAGGTATTCCTGATCCGGGAAGGGAAATACCAAGAGAGAATGAGGACAGAAGAATGCTTACATCCCCCTTTTTGGGACTGGAACCTGTTGAAAATCCTGATGTTTATTGCTTAATTAAAGAGAAGATCACTCAAGCTCTGAGACAGCTCAAGGAATTGACTGACCAACATGTTCTAGCTCAGGTTTGGGCACCAGTGAAGAATGGGGGTCGGTATGTGCTCACAACTTCAGGGCAACCCTTTGTTCTTGATCCTCATACTAATGGACTTCATCAGTATAGGATGGCTTCTCTGATGTATATGTTTTCTGTGGATGGAGAGAGTGATGGAATGGTTGGGCTCCCTGGCCGTGTTTTCCGGCAAAAATTGCCAGAATGGACCCCAAATGTTCAGTACTACTCCATCAAAGAGTATCCACGGCTTGGTCAGTGTTTTCCAGCAAAAATTTGCCAGAATGGACCCCAAATGTTCAGTACTACTCCATCAAAGAGTATCCACGGCTTGGTCATGCTCAGCATTACAATGTTCAGGGAACCTTAGCTTTGCCCGTGTTTGAACCTTTGCTCAGCATTACAAAGAGTATCCACGGACGGTCCTGTGTTGGTGTTCTTGAGCTCATAATGACTTCTCCGAAGATCAACAATGCTTCTGAGGTTGATAAAGTTTGCAAAGCACTTGAGGTTGGTTTATTATTTTATTTTCTGAGCATATGTTAGAATTACATATTGTGTCATGCTCTTATTCAAACAAGCTTAGTGTACTTATTTTTTAAATTGATGGCTTTTGTTTTCATTTGAATACTAATACGGTTATATGAGTGAGCTTCAAACATGAAGAGGTTTGTCAGTGAAAAAATTTCATTTCTCCTGCAGGCAGTAAGTCTGAAAAGTTCAGATATATTGGATCACACAAGCATGCAGGTGAGCTGCAATAACAATGTGCCTAGTATGGATCCCAGCACACAGAATGGACAGGCTTAGTATGCCCCTGCATTCAAAACCAAATTCCAAGTAACACAATTGAGAATCTACATGAAAATATTAGTATAACAGAAGTAAATAGTTCAAGAATGTGTATAGGAACATCAAATTGCATCATAAGTGCCAAAAGACAACAGATAAATATGTTAGTAGAAATTCAACGAAATATTTAATCCTACAAACATCACCGTTTCCCAGTGAAACATGCACCTGAACCATCCAGATACTTGCAACGAGACCACAATAATGATTGTCAGACTAAGCCCTTTAGGTTAGCTAGGTGGTGAGGGAGGGTGGGGATATGGGTTAGGGTTAAGATTAGGATAGGTCAAGGGTCTGATCCCTTCCAATGTAACCCAAAAAAGAATAAAGTTTATAAGAGTCAAGCAGGATCCCCTTTTTTCTGTGGAAATAATGCCACTGTTATTCGCCAAAAAGAATATCATCATTGATATAGAACTCAACAAAGAATCAGAAGTTAAAATGTAGCATCACATAATCAGTTTAACTCACAATTATCAAATGGACAATTATGATGAAACAAAATGTTAAACTGACCTGTAATGAATGCCGACAAGCCTGTGTCTCGACATCCAGTATAGATACAACATTATCTGCTGCTGCAGCAAGAAATCTTCCATGGCGGGGTTGAAATCTCATCTGTGCTGTACCACCCTAATACGTGCAAACAAATCACAATTTATAAAAAGGCGAATAATCTGAGAACCACTATTACCCCACCCCACTGAACTTCTACATCCAAATAGACAAGATTCTACCTTGAACACACTTGAGCAGCTGCCATTGTTAATACTCCAGTAGCGTATCTGACCATCCGAGTCGCAGGAGCAGATAAGGTTATCTTTATTTGGGTGGAAATCTAATGACATAACGATGCTTTAATACAGCACATCCGTTACATGTCACAGTTAAAAGATACAAAAAGATAAATTATCACTTTTAAGAATAGAGCCACCACTTCGGCACCCCAGCAATGACCCAGCACAAAGACAAACTTATCATGGGAAAGATTATGGAATATATGATAGAGATCAATCTAGAAGTATACTTGGTCTGATTACTTAAAGTATTCGATTTTTGAAACAAAAGGTTATTTTCAAAGTATAAGCTAAGCAGATGAATAGAACGAAAGAATTTTCCACTAACATTGTCAGCATCCCAGACCCTGACAGTTTCGTCGAATGAAGACGTTGCAAGACGTGGCATGCTTGGACTAAAACGAACATCAGTGATCAAAGCTGAATGTTCTTCAAGGGTTGATTTTAACTTTAATGTATCTGTGTAGCACAATACAGCCTGCATCATACATATATCAAGAAGACTTTCAATAAGTAAACGCAAGACCCAAAAAAACAACCTTGTTGCTTATAATAAGTAAATTAAACAAGCAGTTTCACATTTATGTTCTGGAAGAATCAATATGTAGCAGCATAAGCATTGAATCCTCCCCGCAGCAGTTCTTTGCAATTAGACATTCATTCACTCACCTTTTTATCATGGCCACCACTAGCAAGAAACTTTCCATCCGATGAGAAGTGACAGCTAGTAACCTTGCTTGTGCTTGCTTTAACAGTGTGTACTTCCGTAAATGTGAACCCTAAAGTCAAATTCAAATTCAAATTCTGAGCCCTCAAAGTAAATGATAGTAGCTTCACCACAACCACATTTAAAAACATATACAGATATTAGATATATATATATATATATTAATGCTGGGATTATGCACTGACATTGTTTCTAAGTTTGTGGATGGCACAATTACCAAAAACACATGGTAGTTAATACAAGTGAGAAAAAAATTAATGAAAAAATAAAGATATTTGATTCAGACTTGTGATTCAATACCTACTACTTGCAGTGCCCTCGTATTTTATTAACGTATTTATCCACTTCACATTAGAGAAATTGAAAAAGAATTGCAAAATAATGAAGAAAATTATGGCATATACTACATTCAGGAAGATCTTAAACTAAATATTCATTCAATAAAATGACATCCATCGCACCTTTGCTGACATCCATACATCGACCAACAGCATCTCTAGGGTCCACATCATCATGGGATAAAAAAGACTCGACATTATCATCAAGAGAACCATCCTCTACAAATCGATCCATATCAGCCTGCAATTCAAGATCTTTATCATCCCACTGCCAAAATGGAATTCCAACGAGAATACATACAAGGAGTTGCCAATTCCTTCTAATACACGAAGTTGAAGAAGTCGCTCACCAACTGATTTGATGGTGATGTAAGGGTCCCAGTACCATCAGGGGGAAAGGCAGGCATTGAGATTACATCTCCAGGAGTGTGCGTTGAGGGAGTTGAAGGGGCTGAACTCGGGGAAGGCCCAGCTGTGTTTGCTGTTCCCGTGCTATTGGCAGCACCTGAAGATGACACTGGCCGCTTTCCCTTTCTCCCAGCCTGGTTTTACGAAACCTTATTTACAAAAAATTGTATAGCCGGGCGGCTGTACTCTTTTATTCTAAATTTTTTAAATAAATTGTATAGCCGTGCGGCTATACTGGGTTTTTTCAATTTATTTAAGGCAGTAGTATAGCCGCACGGCTTTACTGGGGTTTTCCAATTTTTTTAAAGAAATAGTATAGCCGGGCGGCCATACTCAGTTTTTTCCAATGTTAAAAAAAATTATTATAGCCCCACTGCTATACCAAATTAATATTTCAATAATACATCCTTGTTTTGTAACTCTCTTAAGGACTCGGTAAGTTTTTTTTAAAGCGAATGTACAATACTCATATTGAACATGTACATACGTATTTTTCATGTTTAATACACATATTTTTTTTACAAAATTCAAGTATTATACACATAATTATCACATATTATTGAATACAAATAATATATATTAAAATATTATATAGTGGCGGAACTTTTAAGTTATAATTTGTCAAAATTTTGCCCAAAAAACACTTATGTATTTTATTCGTATAGTCGTGTGGTTATACCAAATTAATATCTATAAAATATAAACTAATGCAACTAGGCAGTCCCGATCTCTTGGACTATAGGGTCCAAGAGATTTGTGGTTACTCACCGTTGGATGTAAATTCAACGGTTCACTCACTCTTGCACTCCTTTTAAGAAATTTTTTTGAACCATTGGATTAATATCCAACGGTAGGTAACCACAATCTCTTGGACTCCTGTGGTCCAAGAGATCGGGATTGTGCAACTAGGAGGGTCGTTTTTTCATATTTGTTTTTATTAAATAGTGTTGTCGTGCGGCTCTACCATTGAAATATGATGTATTTAAATAGTATAGCAGCCCAGATATACTACGGTTTTTTACAAAAAATAGTATAGACGCATGTCCATACTCGTTTTATCTAATTTTAAAAAAAGAAATAGTATAGCCGCCCGGCTATACTCGTTTTTCCTAATGTTTTCCCTAGTTAGATAGCTTACAAGATTCTCCATTTTTTTTATTTATAATGTTTTCTACTCACTTATTATCTCCAAATATTTTTATTTATAATTTTCTATTCTCTAATTTCTTTTTTTGCTAAATGGAAATCAAAATTAAAGTAACTCATTTTTTTTATGTGCATGTATGAAACTCTTCAAATTATGAAGTTATTGAGCAAAATGTTAGTTTGCACAAATACAAGGAAAAAGCTTAGTTTAAAAATCAAGAAGTATGTAATTTCATTACAAGATTTATTTCATACAAAAGTATGTAATAAGAAAATTCGTAACTTATCAATATTTTCAGTTGATATTGAATGATAGGGTGTTCAATTCGTATTTGATATATATGCATATGCTTTATTATTTTTTGACATTAAATTGGTATATATATAATATATGTGTATGTTACGGTTAAAGTGATACTCTCATGTTCATTCGTTTGAAAAATATAATTTCCCAAATAATAATTTCAAAGAAGATAAGAAAAAGCTAAAAAGGTTTTGGTTCAATTGGGTCAGTTTAGCAGGCCATGGTGGATCCGAGTGACACTGACTCGTAATCCTTCCACTACCAAGAGCGGGAGGTAGTCGTTGCTCTGTAAAGCCAGCCTTATGCGGTTCCCTCCTCTCTAGAAACCCAGTGACCCAGAGCCTTCGCTCAAGCCGCAGGGTTTAACTCCTGACTTGAAATAGGCGGGCCAATAGATAGCCAGCTTGAACCCGACCCGTTAATTATGGGCCAATGTTCCAGCACCTCAAAGCCCCCACTCGGGTTCAGATCAAAGCATGCGGTACAAAGAAACAAGTTACCATCATCAATTGAAGTTTAGAAAAGTCAATAAATCAAAAAAGTATTTAATGTCATTACGCATCGGATCAAACAAAAATATTAAACATATGACAAGAAATTTTCACAAGAAATACCATAGTATCTTAACAATTCTGTTAATTTTTCTTGCTGATGGCGTCTGAGACGAGATTATTTATATTGTTTGTGATTGTACTGACTGTACGTATAATCTTCTGTGAATTTGTAAAGATTGTAAGTCTTGGAATTCAATGGTGGCTGGTTGTTAAACTCAAATAATAATTAATTAGTAATTAGTAATAAGTAATAATAGTAATCATTTTAGCTTATCATAAGCAATCATTTACTTGCATTAATATAATGAAAAGTCAGAGTAACCAAGAGAGAAAGCCAAGACCCGCACAAATTACATATAGACAGCTTTTTCTTTTTATTTTAAAGCACATAAAAAGTCAAAGCTTTATTTTTGAAATCAGATAAAGTCACATCTGATAGATCATACATACCAATTTCTTTCTTCTTATTGCATTCAACAACCACAAAATGTATACCTTTTTACATACATAAGATTCTATTCCTTCTCTGGATAAAAGAAAAATATAACAAGCACTATTTTTCTGTCAACATATTATCTCCAAACTAATACTCGAAAGCTATACGCATCGGATCAAAACATAACGATGAAAGAAAGTAGGATCGGCACGAGAATAATGATGAGAGTTTGAGATATGTTGCTCTTCTTTCCTGCAAATTAAGTAAAATCATAAACAAATATTCTCAGATTAAAGAATGGGGTACAAAGAAACAAGAGTTATCATCATCAATTGAAGTTTAGAAAAGTCAATAATCAAATATACATACCTCTTGCATTGGCTGTAGGTGGAGATATTAATGGTGGCAATGCCACTGGTACCGTCTGAGCTGCAGGGTCAAAGAAGAGGTAATCAACCTGATAATATAAGTCACAGCTGGGATTAACATAGCTTCCAAAACCATTCCCATAACAATACATTTGGATCTTTTCTAAAGCTTCATCTAAGCAATTGTTACATCCCAGCTCTGACAAATCTGGGCTGCACTGCGCAAGTCCATATATTGTACTTATATTCTTAGAATATATAGAAACACTTGCATTTCCCACTGTAAACTTAACATCACCGCCAGCCGCTGCTTCAACTTTTAGTACTCCCAGCAACGCCAACAGCCGTTGGTTAAACCCTTCCAGGACCGACAATGACGACGACACATTTTTGTTGCTGTACGCCGTGGAAGATGGAATCAATTCCACGGTTCCATGCATGGAGTGGTTCGAGTAGCGTAACTTGCATTTTTCCGTCCACAAACTTGCCTCCCTGTCATTAGGGCAAGCCTCCATGAGATTGTATATGGAGGCGTTGAGGCAAGTAACGCAAGTGTCATGCTTCAGATCCCCTCTACAGAGCCCGATTGCATAAACTTTGTCAGAGTTTTCGCCATAAGCAGAACTGTAAAACCCGTAGCCATTACTATTGTTGGAGGAGATGAGAGAGGACAAAACGCCGTTGACGTTTTTGAGATAGGTGCTATTGAGAATGGTGGTATTAGGAAAGGCGTCAAGACAGTTGAACACATCAACGGCTTGCGTACCGATGACCGGTAACAAAATTAGGGGAAGAAGTAATTGAAATCTAGTGGAAACCATTATGCCTGCCTTAATCTGTGCTCGGTCCATATGCATTGTGTTAATTATGTACAGATTACCTTATCATATCGAAGGATAATCTCTACATAATGAAGGGGAACATATGAATTTTTAAATATCACGCAAGCATTATTTTTTGGTTACCTTATCATATCGAGACTACTACTATTGTTTTTGATTGTTGACCGTATCATATGTGAATGATATAGAAGATTATATGTCTTGAACTTCAATGGTGGCAGGCTGTTCAACACAAATAAAAATTAATTAATTAATTAATACTAATATGAATTGTTTTAGCTCATCACGCAAACTAAGCAATCGATTATTTTCTATTAATAATGAAAAAGTCAAAGTTGAACATGAAAGAAAGCCATGAACAGATCCTTGGACGTCATAGAATCAATTGACAAAGTTGCTCTGTTTCTCTCTTGATCCACATAAATATGAAAAGGAAGCTCATTCATGGTGACAATGCCGCTGGTACTGTCTGATTTGCAGGGGCAAAGAAGTGGTAATTAAGCTCATACCTTAAGTCACAGCTGGGATTAGCATATTTCCCAGAACCATTCCCATAACAGTATTTTTGGAGCCTTCCAAGAGCTTCACCTAAGCAATTATTACATCCCAGCTCAGACAAATCTGGATTGCACTGCGCAAGTCCATATATTGTACTTATGTTATTAGAATATATAGAAACACTTGCATTTCCCACTGCAAACTTAAGAACGTCACCACCGGCTGCCGCTTCCACTTTTAGTTCTCCCAATAACGCCACCAGCCGCTGATTAAACCCTTCCACGACTGACGACGACGATGACACATTTTTGTTGCTATAGGACGTTAAAGATGGAAGCAATTCCACGTTTCCTGGCATGGAGTGGTTTGAATATCCTAACTTGCAGCCTTCGGTCAACAAACTTGCCTCCCTATTATTAGGGCAACTCTCCATGAGGGCATACCTGGAGCTGTTGAGGCAAGTAACGCAAGCAGCAGGCGTCAAATCCCCTCTGCAAAGCCCATTTGCATAAACTTTGTCGGAGTTAGCGCCGTAGGAGGAACTGTAAAACCCGTACCCCTTACTATCGTTGGAGGAGATGAGGGAGGACAAAGCACCATTGACGTTTTTGAGATAGGTGCTATTGAGAATGGTGGTATTAGGAAAGGCGTCAAGACAGTTGAACATATCAACGGCTTGAGTACCGATGATCGGTAACAAAATTAGGGGAAGAAATAATAGAAATTTAGTGGAAACCATTATGCCCTTAGGTTGCTCACGTCCCATGTACAATCTGTTAATTATGTACTGATCATATATATAGCGGATAATCTGTACATAATTAATGCGAATATATGACTTTTAAAATATAACGCATATAAATTATTATTTTGGTTACCTTATTATATCATTGAATATATATATCCCCTGCAGTTTGAGACGAGACTACTTCTATTGTTTGTGATTGTTGACCGTATCATATGTGAATTATATAGAGGTTATATGGCTTGAAATTCAATGGTTGCTGGTTGTTCAGCTCAAATAAAAGTCAATCTAAGCAATCGATTATTCGCACTAGTAATGAAAAGTCGAAGTTAAACACGGGAGAAAGCCATGAACAGATACTTGGACCATTGAACCCGTCACCCACATGTGACATGTACGTGGAGTTGGATAGAGTCAATTAACATGCGCATTTCCAAACGAAAAGACAGATACTTTGGAAGTTTCCACTACTCAAATTTTCAAAAAATAATCTGCTCACCTTTCAAAAATAAAAAGTTAAGTATACTCAACCTGAACTCACCCTAATAAACACACAGAGCATTTCCTTCTTAAAAAAAAAACAGAGCATTTCCAGTACAAAGTTGCTCTGTTTTTTCTTGGGCCACGTAAATATGAAAAGGAAGCTCATTCAATTATCAGAAATTTAGTTTGGTAATTTTGTTGCACACATAATAGCCCAATTTGGACACATCGTATTATTAAGTTTGAAGTTGTCCCTTCCCTCCAATTTCTCCAAACCTGCATATATAAATAAAAAGATTAGACAGACCTTTTCTTTCTTTCATAAATTAATCAACTCCAGAAAAATTCACATTGCGGTTAATTAAAAGACACATAAAGCACTTTTTCTTTGTTTACTTAGGTTCCTTCATTCTCTCCGCCATGGAAATTACTACAGACATCCAATTTAACTGAAAACTGTCTGCGCTTTACATATTATGGAGCCGAGCCATGTATCCGCTGCATGCATATCAACCAAAAGAAAGTCAAATGGAAGTTTCATAGAATTCCCAAGTTATTTTATTGCTTATTCTTTACTTGTTAGATCTTTGGTAACTAGAATTTTTAGTTCTATCACTTCTATGCTATGTCGGAACTTGGAAATTATTAGTATAGCATACTACAAGCCCTATAGGCACAGTACTTACTAGGTCCCCACAATTCGACTGGTTTTGGCTTGTTTTTGATCCATCACAAACAATCTTGCCATGCCAAAGTTTGCAATTTTGGGGTTTAGTAATCACTAGCAAGGGCTCCCGCGCGATGCTGCGGGTTTTGAAATTGCGTCAAATGTGTATAAAGTCGTAAAAATATGTAGGGAACATAGCTTTGTTTATATGTATATTAAGATCTAAATAGTAACATTATGCTTAGTTTAGTACGTTTAAGTTAGAATAAATAAATTAATAAGATGATATCAGTGCTGCTTGTTATGTTAAAATACCGGCCCTATTTATATATACATTGAGATCTAAACAGTGCCATCATGCTTAGTTTGGCAAGCTTAAGTTGTAAAAAATAAACTAACATGTTTTATATGCTGCTTGTTATGTTAAAATATTATGCATATTTTAATATATCAAGCAGCTATTAAAACATCAAAATATGAGTAACCTTGAGCAAAGTATTGTTCTTCTACAGGCGTATATCTATATTTTAATGGGTGGTGGACATGGATTTTTCTTTTTTGATGTTTTTTGCAAGGGATAGCTGTTGTTGCATTTGTTGTGTAGCTGGCTGATGTTCCTTCTTCTCCATTCAAGAGGTTTTAACTCTGTTAGTATAAAGTCAGAAAATGGCAAGCGTTAATTATTATGATAGAATAAGTTAAAAAAGTAAAAAGGAGAAATAACAATTTACATACATCAAGCATTCTATTAATATGATGGATAAAAGTATAAGGTCAATTTAGTGAATCAATTGAAAATAAACTAAAAACAATTGTGACAATTTTAATATAATCAAATCAAGGGGTGTTGACTTTGTTGGTATAAACTTGGTAAATGGTAGGTGTCAGTGTCGACAAATGAGAAAATTTGAGCAAAGACAATGCCTATTGAATTAAGGCCAACAACGAAAACTGCACAAACCACAATTTAAATTATCTAAAAATACTTAATAACCTATAAACAGAAATAAGATGATCTAGTGACCTAATGAGCAAATTTGTTATAGAATTAAGATAATCTAGTGGAGAAGTAAGCTATAAAAGCAACAATGATGTATAAATAGCTATATGTTATAGAAGTAGAATAAGGGTAGAGATAAGACGCTATAGGTTATAGTTTTGTTAATTACATTTAAAACATTTAATAACGATGTTTCAAATTTGAAAAATGTAATTGAAAGTCAGTTCATATGGGAGCTCCAAAAAAATACGAAAAAAAAAGAAAATTTTAATAATCAATAAGAGTAAATAAATTTATATATTTATTGAAGTGATCAAATATCCATACCCCAACTTCTAAAGAAAGGGAAGTTTCTTAATATGAACAAAAATTTCGAGTGACTAAAATATTAGAATCAGGGAGAATTGAAATATATGTACATCACTTGTGTAAACCACAAAAATTAATGGAAGGCAAATGCTTTAAAATCAAACACATTGGCTCAAAGGAATGAAACCAAATTGCATTCTAAAAGATGTTTGAGAAAAATCATATTTTAAAAGAAGAGTTGATAAATTTTCTTTAAAATTGAATCATAATTGAAAACAATTATGAGAAAGGAAACTTTGCCCAAATTCAATTCAATCAACTACCACTTAATATAGAGAAATTGAGTGAAGAAATAAGCTGTGAACGATGAAATATTATGTATGTAATGTGTACGTTAATGAGATGAATGAATTGAAAAGAAAATAGCATAAACTCTGATGTGGAAGTAGGAGAGGCAATTTTGGAACTGCCATGGGCTTTTTTCTTCTTCAAACCAATAATTGGTAAATTGTTAGAATCTGACACATTTTCTTATTTGGTTTTATGTTTATCATCGGCAAGACAAACACTTTCATAAGAGATTTCTATACCATTTGAAATGGCAAAACTATGAGCTTCTTACATCAGCTGATTTCGTTTGCTATCTCTAGTCCTTTTACGCATTATGCACAGAAATTTTAAACCCCAGGCAACAGATTGATAACTGGAAAGGAGAAAAAACATGCATTTATAAAATTTTAAATTATCAATCACATTTAAACTGTAATTAAGCAAAGCAAATGCACCGTGATATTGACAGAACCACAGAAATGAGAATTTTCAATTGTCATAATATTTGGCAATCAATAAGCTACGGCCACCATGCATGCGGTCTTTAAAAAAATGGATGAAACACTAACCTGTAGTCAAAGAAGCTATCAAGCATTTCCAAAAACAGCCACACAAAAGCAGGATCACAACAGCTATCTAAAATACAAAGATAGAAAAACAAACTTAGGTTAATAAATATAATTTTGATTTTGCTTGTGAGATAAGACAGTCTCAATTAATTAATTAATCTGTTTCAATACTGATCTTGGTATTGAAGAATATCAAGAATATAGACCCCAACAGAAACTATACTTTTTGTTACATTTCCTTTTCTTACACAAACAAATGAAAACATGAAAATATGATGATACGAAGTGAAGACTGCTTTCTTTTCAAATTCCTTGAGAGGAGAATCACATGTTAATTGGTTGAAAAGTAACCAACACCATAAAGAGAAAAATAAATACACACATCACAACTCATTTCAAAATCCATATGCATGCAGACAGTGTGGACCAATGCCAAATGTTCTGTAAAAAACAAATTCCATAAAACCAAACATCGACCAAACCCTATATAATAAATTAAGCCAATGTGATGAATTTGTTTCTGGAAATTAGTTCAACGGCCCATAATTGTGACTTGCAACCAACCATTTGCAGAGGAGCAATTTGAAATAAAATCAAGCAACAACCAAGAGAGTGAAAAATAAAGACATTCTAGATTCTAAAACAGAGCTTTGAACAACCTGGTGATCCCTAATTAGAGCATTAGTGCCACATGTGCTACATCTTCGACAGTGTTGTGTAGCCAACCTTTTAAAAAAAAATCTCATCCTCATTGTTAAAAATTGATGATCTTTTCCGACTTTAAAGTTATTTCCACTATGAATTGAAAACAAAAAAAACATTTATTAAGAAAAAGTTCTTTCACTAACTGTATTGCAATGGAGATGCTACACTGTCTATTTAAAAACTATTAGATGCTGCATTTGAAATAAAGAGTATACGATTATTGATTATAATGTCATGCTTTTTAATAATGTGTTCTTAAATTTGAATAACTTTGATGCATAATAATCAAGCACCGTGTAGCTGATTTACATGGGTTCTTACTAAAAAGTTAATGTATATATTATGTAACCTGCAGGGGATGCTTTGATATCAAACTTGCATACCAAAAATTCATCATTAAGAAAGTAAGAACAGTACATATGCCTAAATGATCAACACAAATGGGAAATTGATGCCATTGGCTGAAGCAAAATGGAAAACAATTAATTTAAGCCAATTAATTTCAACCAAGAAACTCCCCTCTTGCTTAACAGAACCAAAAGCAGGAACCTAACAGCTCTATCCAAACCAGCAAAATAAGCTGACACTTTGAGAGCACTGCATAGTTTACAATAAGTTTTCTTTTTGGTCATTGGTGGGAATTTTACTATTCATTGTATTTAGCTATTTTTGGTTGATAAATATTTTGATGCCATTTAGTGAAGAATTTAGAACAATATTCAAAAATTACAAATTCCAACCAAAACAGCGATAGTTGGAAAGGAAAATAAAAACATGGATGAGTTAAATTACAATACTTTTATTACATCTATAGCCTAATCAAGCAAAATGGACGCACACCAACAGTATTGTAGCTATAGAAATAAGAATTTTCAAAACAAACATATGAAAACGAATTAAATACAATTTCTATAGCCTAATCAAGCAAACCATAGCAATAACATCACAATGATAGGAATAACAATTTTCAAAGACACAATATCCAATAAGCAATAACATCACAATGATATGCATGACTTCTTCAAAAGACGAATACAAAACTGACCTGTTGTCTAGCAGCAATGGGAAGAGCTACCAAACAGTCTAAAAAACACAAAAACCGAAAATTCAGTTTCTTCTTCTCATAAGGCATATAATCCTTTTTTTTGCCTTTGAAAATTGTTGAACTCTATTTTTGTATGGTTGCCATCTTTCTTTAGGACTTGAGGAAGAAATAAGAGGCACACACTTATCCCAACCATTTGTCAATTGACAACATTAGCTAATTCCCATGCTCAATTCACAAAACTTAAAACAATTAATTGGAAATTTCAGCCTAGAAACTCACCTTCTGCTAAACATAGCCGAAAACACCAATCAAACTGCTCTATCCATAGCAACAAAAGACCACCTGCAAAATATCAAAAGAAAACATGGTTTTAAAAAAAAAAAAAAAAAAAAAGGAACAAAAAACAGAAAAAATGGAGAAGAAATTAGCTTGTGTATGTTATACATGCACGATCTTTTCATAAAACCAAAACTTTAGCCTGAGCAAAATTTGCAAGGAAAGAAATCACTCAAGACTACCCAAATTAATGTGTTTTGGGCAAAGAAAAATACTGTAAAAGCACGGGAAAATGGCTGTTTAAATGATCCTAGATGCGTATAAAACAAAGAATATAAGATCAAAAGTTACTGGTCTAAACAATCAAAAGTTACCTATGCAAAAGTCACCCTAAACAATCAAGATTTTTTTTATATTTTTCAATTCCATTTTCCTGTTTTTCCTTTTTTTCCCTTTAAACAGATATCAAAATTTCATACTCTAATTCAACAATTGAGTCATCTCAAAGTCTCTTCTAACAATCTAAAGATCAAGCTCCAATTTGTACTAAACATATATGTCTGAAAATCAACCCAAAACATCAATCAAATGAAACCAAAGGCAGCTACATCTCATTTTTCATGTTAAAAAAGCTCCCTAAAAAAAACAAAAAATTTCAAAAAACTTCAACACACGAAAAGGCATTAATATATAATCAAAAGCAACATCATGTTGTTATCACTCTTATCAACAACCCCTCCAAATACATCATATCTTCCATAAACTAAAAGGAAAAAGTCAAAAATATTAATATGTCATCAAAGATTAGAAAATTCTATCTCATAACCCTACACCACCAAAAACGCAGGATCAGTGCTACAGTCAAAGAATAAAAACTAAAATTAATAGAGAAAATTGAACCTGATTTGAAGCTTACCAATATGTTGTGATATATAAATACCTCAGCTCTTATATAGCCTTAGGGATTACCCAAGAACCTGAAATCAAATTAACCAAATAAATGAACCTAAATTAACCAAATAAATGAGCCCCAATTCGTACAAAGGACAAAAAATCTCCCAGCCAACAAACAAATTCTTCAGAAACACTTAGATTCAAAACGCCATCTTTGTACCAAAATCTCCAGTTTTTAGCGTTTCACTTTCACTCTGTCATCAAATCCAGACCCAAAAACAGATTGTATGTGCAAGGAAGAATAAAAGGCTAGTTGGGTCTCTAAGATTACCAAGATTGTTGCGCCAATTGATGCCCGTCATCGTGTCTAACCTCAAGATATTGCCTCAGCCGCTGGATCTGGTTATCGAAGAAATTTGCAGTGGAGATGGCAATGGAGGGGGTTTGGGAATTTGGAAGGGTTTTGGAGGAGGAGGAGGCTTTGATGGGTTCGGAAGGAAAAGAAACATAAAGTTGCTCTTAGGGAAATGGAAGTCGAAGCCTATGTTGCACCGACACTCCAAACTGCTGGAGTGTCGGAGTGTCGGACACGCCGACACGCCAACGACACGCGTTGGACACGGTCAACGGCTGGGACACGATCAAGACACGTCGCTGACACGGTCAAGACATGGCTCCAACACGGTCAAGACACGGCAGGGACCAGATTGAAATTTTGAAAATAAAAGTTGGGGGCTAAATGGGATTCCGTTTAGTATATATATAATGTGCATTACCTCAGAGAATCAATGAATGCTTAGATGGTGGTTATTAAATAAGATGAATTTCCTTAATCTTAAAGTAAGGACTGTTGGCGAGTCCTTACTTAGTTAGGATTTTGGTTTCTTATTATATTAGGATTTTGGTTACTTACCCATTTATCTAGTTTTATTATAATTGAAATTTATTTCCTATTGTAATTTATATATATTTTCTATTATAATTTGAATTTATTTCATATTCTATTTAGGATTGTACTTCTTTATAAATACCTCCATATTGGAGAAGAATAAAAAGAAGAGCAAATATGAGCCTATATGAATATTTGCTGTACTTTATTTGACAAGGAGATGACCAAAAGCCCAATGTGACACATTTTACCTGAAGAGATGACCCCAAAATGAAGAGCATCTCCAATTTTTTAGACCCATAAACTTCAGCATCCCGTGTCTTTTGGCCAGGCAAAATCACACACCATCTGCTAATTGTCATCAAAGACAAAACAGTGGTCCCTCCACCAGTACCCTTGAGAAGATGATGTATCAACAATTGAATTGCAGAGTAGAGATATCTTTAATTACGCAATGGTTTTTCTCAAGGATTTGGATTGTTTTAAGCCACACGTGTGTGGGTGATATCTAAAGCAGGTTGAAGCGTACACTTCTACCAAAGAGATGCTTTTCCACTGTTTTTTTTGGTTCATACGGCGTCGACAGCATTATCAATACAAAATCTGTCCTTTAACAAAAGAACGGACGTCCTGCACTGAGAAATCATGGTGTATTTGGACGCTTTTATTGCGCATCTTGTAGAACAAGGAGCAGCTGAGTGTAGAGTGAGTGTATTGGATATTATTCAAAAAGCCAATAGTATCTCTGCTGTGTATATGTATTGGATTATTGTGCATCAATTATAGAACAAGGAGCAGCTGAGTGTAAGACGTTACTCTAAGGCTCTCTGCATATTCTTTATCACTTAGTTTGAGCATGACTAACCATCCAGGTCCACAAAATGGTGACAAGGAAAAATGGGAAAACATGGAGAGAAGAAAAGAGGAGCTACATGCTGCAATTGAGAAGCAGGATGATCGTGTAAACCTTCTTCTAACGAGTGCCTTCAACCTTGCAAACTACTACTTTGTCTTTCAAGGAATTATTTTGGGGGCTGTCGTCAATGCCACTACAGCCCTCCGATGCTCAGATCGTTGGTTCCTTTTCAGCCTCTCGCTAATAGCAGCCATACTCAACTTGGTTTCATTGCTTGTAATTGGAGGCAATTATAAAAGAAGCATCATGCAGAGGCACCAAACCAAGTGTGCGCGCAGTAAATTGGAAAACGATATGGGCAAGCTAGAAACTTCACCTTCAGATCACAGGCTCAAAAGTAACATATTATCGTACTGGAGTTCAACAAAATTAGAAGCTTCAGGGCATGTTACTTCTCAACATCCTGTGGAAATTAAGGATGAACCAGAACAAAGGCAAATTAGCAGGCGGGTCGTGCCGGTTGATAATCATAAAAAACAGCTACATGATTTCTACTTTCTACTTTGCATGGGTCTCTTTATATCCTTTGCCGTCATCGTGGTTGTGGGTTGCTGGACCATTCCTTGTAAGAAATATCTTCAATGCATACCCCCCATATCCAGCACTGAGAAATGCATTAGGGTTTGTGAAAGTGCCAAGTGTATGAGCATGTGCACCGAATTCTAGAGCCTTCAACTGTTCTAGCGTTGAGCTAGGGTTATCCAAGTAGATTGGTACCTTTTGTTTTTTGTTTTTTGTTTTTGGTCAAGATTGGTACCGTAATAAAGCTTACGTTGAATTTGGTGTTTCTTATAGATCGGTACCATATATAATAAAGCTTAATATTCCTGCTCTTCATTTAATCCGTAATGGTTTATATGGTTTTCTAAGTCGACAAATTTTACAAATAAGAATGAACGCGACTTTCTGAGTGTTATTTAAAAATTTGGGTCTCATAAAAGATAAGATTCTTATTAGTTTAGACTTGAAGAATCGTAGTTATAATATTGAGGCTAAGACAGTTTGTTAGGTTCTAGACTAGCTAAATTTTCCTTGCCAACTTTGTAATCTTCTAAATCATGTCCAAGCTCCAGTGATTCGTCTAGGCGTAGATAGTTTTTGTGAAATCTACCTCAAGAATGGTTGAAGCTGCAATTATTGATCTTCAAGGTAAATCACTCATATGCATTACATTCACGTGTCTATATACAGTTTTTCTTTACTGATGTGATGACTAGTGCAGTCTCACTAGTTACTTGTCATCACTAGTCACTGATGTCTATATACAGTTTTTGTCACGTGTTGTTGTCTCCAATTCCTGCTGTGTGTGAGTCACCTACTCTCTTGCCATTTTCTTACACAAATCTTTGACTGACAAGTGTCCCATTAGCTGGTCCAATTTTAGCAAAACCATTTGGGTGTGCTTTGGATTCCTCACACCACTTTCATTTTGCGATTTTGGCTTGGGACAAAACTCGGTTTTTCTCAGGTTTTTAATTAGCTGAAAGTGCTCTTGGTGCAGAAATGAGTTTTCAATCTTTTGATTTATAAGAACTGCAACTATTTTAAATATGATCCTAGTTTTAGCATATCACTCATACATATCTAGGTTCAAATTCACTATTGATTTCTTCAATATGCTGGTTTCTTGAAGAGATTGATATTGTTATGTGATACTACATTTTCTCATTCTGAAAGTTGATGTTCTTGTTGAGTTGTTGGTGCCATGAAGATGAAGTCTTTGTGAAGACTAAAGTTACTGAGTCGCTATGGTTCAAATCAAGATTGCACAAAGGTATAGCTGCTTCGTCATTTAGATTTAGGAAATATGAGCTTGGTTGAGTTACTTTTCTAAGAATCTTTTTGAACATAGTGGATTGCCTGGTTGGATTGATGACCCCCACTTTTTTCCAGTGGTGGGTTTCTTGGTGACCATGTTCTTGTGTCTTGCTTGATGAATATGTAACTGAATCAGTATTTTTATCATGTTGCTGTCATTTATACTCACTATCTATTGGATTGCTTCTCTCTGAATATTTGGATTAGAGCACACACTTAGTTCACCATAGTTGTTGCTAGCACTGAGGAATCCTAGCCTGATGGATCTTTTTGAGTGTATAGGTTGTCACATATTCAAGCTTTGTTTTACAGGTTAATTTACATACTTGGTTGCTTCGCTAGTCTGTTCTGTGTGCACTTTTTGTAGGTTTATGACTGCTTGAGTGATCTAGTTATCTAGGTGTTATCTAGGTCTTAATCGAGTCACCTTGTAGTGATCTAGTTATTCTAGCTTCTCATGTTTTAGCATGGTATCAGAGCTTAGTTGTTAATACCTGAGATCCTCTGCCAAATTGAGCGTCGTTGGCATTCCTCATTCCTAACCCATCATGGGTCTTCATCTTGTTGTAAATCATCGTTTCTCCTTTCCTCTATAATCAACATATATTTCTTCTACCTTAGCCATAGCCGCACCTTTCTGCAATTTTCCTCCTGTTATATATATAATTTAAAAAAGAAAAAAAACTCTCTCTGTCCTTACCTTGTTTCTGTTCAGTTTGTTGTTACCTTATTTTTTCTCTCTACCTATGCCAGCAGCTGTAGCCCTCTTCGCCGCTGCCATTTCTCTTTCATCTTTCTATGAGCCTGCTTTCTGTTAAAATCAGATTGAGCTCATGTTACTTTCTGTCTCTTGCGCTCACAGCCGCTGCCTCCTTTCTATCGTTGGTGTCTCTCTTTCTCTTGAAATCCCTCTCCACTTCTATGTTTTTTGAGCTTTCTTTCTCTGTTTATCTCAGACTCTCTCCCGAGCTCTGGGGAATTTCTTTCCTCTCTCTCTTTGACGCACATGTTCTCTGCCTCTCTCTCATCAGTTTGTCTGTCTGAGTTCAGAGGTCACTGACACACGTTCACTTCCTCTCTTTTATTTATTATATAGTAAATTGAGTTTAGACCCATAAAATTCATTTTAAATCACCTACGACCCTTCCCTTTATTTTTCTATTTAAAATACCCAATTTTTTCAAATAATACCTGATGACTAGGATCCAATTAAGTAAGTTACCTAATATAACTTAAAATCTTATTTATTGTATTTTTTGAATTCCAAAACTACCCATGTTTATAAGTTAATGTGTTACGGGGGATGTAACTAATGACACACGTCGAATTTGGAAAGATATCCAAATCGTTGTAATGGATGTAGGAATTAATTTAGAAACTTATTTGAAATTAAATATTAAATTCAACATTAACCTATTAGTAATCTATAGGTGATTAACGTTTTGGTTTATTTAATAAAAAAATTATGTTGTTTTCCTTTTATGAATTATACAACTAGTAATCTATATTTTATTATAGTTTTATGAACAATAGTGTACATTCTAATTATGTTGAAAAATAATTTGATAATCTATTTATTGTTTGTTTTTTGAAAAACATTTTTTTTTAAATGAACCTATTTTTTCTCTAAATAATGCACCTATTTTTTTTTCCTCTAAATAATGTACCCCCTTTTCTCTAAATAAAGGACCTATTACTTGTTTTATGAAAAATAATTTGATCATCTTTTTATTGTTTGGTTTATGACATTTTTTTTTAAATGAACCTATTTTTTCTCTCCAAATAATAAAATAATTTGATAATCTATTTATTTTTTGTTTTATGAATTTTTTTTAAATGAATCTATTTTTTTTCTCTAAATAATGTACCCATTTTTAATTTATAAAAAATGTACATAAATTTCAATTATACAA